CGCAGCCGAGTGTGAAGCGGCTGGTATGAGAATCAGCACCTCCAAATCTGAGGCTATGGTCCTCAACTGGAAAAAGGTGGATTGCTCTCTTTGGTTCAAGGGTGAATTTCTGCCTTAAGTGGAGGAGTTCAAGTATCTTGGGGTTTTGTTCACAAGTGAGGGAAGAATGGAACGTGAGATTGGTGCAGGATCTGCAGTATTGTGGACTCTGTGTCGGTCCGTTGTGGTGAAGAGTGACAGGCAGTTGAAATGAGTTTCCTCCGCAGGGTAGCTGGACTCTCCCTTACAGTAGGTGAGAAGTTCAGTTATCCGAGAGAGAGTCAGAGTAGAACCGTTGCTCCTCCACGTCGCGAGGAGCCAGTTGAGGTGGTTCAGGCATCTAGTAAGGATGCCCCCACGGCACCTCCCTAGGTAGGTGCTTCAGGCATGTCTGACAGGGAGGAGACCCCGGGGAAGACCCAGGACACGATGGAGAGACTATGTCTCTCAGTGGGCCTGGGAACGCCTTGGAATCCTCCCAGAAGAGCTAGATAAAAGTGGCTGTGGAGAAGGATGTCTGAGCCTCCCTTCTGAAGCTGCTGCCCCAGCGATCCAACTTCTAAATAAGCGGAAGAAAATGGATGGATAGATTTATGGATATAGCCACAGTACAATAGTTAACAAGTTTTTATCTGGCAACTCTTGGCATGGAAACTACAGCATTTCCATGCAAGCCAGCTCCTCTTTTATTTATTTGTCCCAATTAACACTGAAAAAACGTTGACATTTCCAAAGGTCCTTCTTGTGTAAACTGAGCCTAATTATTTATTCTTGACGGGTGTTTTACTTGATCTTTCTCTTTCACGTTAGTTATCACCTGTTTGTCTTTCATTAGTCTGTCACAAATCGGTGCCAAGGTGGGGAGGTGTTTATTCAGAGTTTTTTTTTAATTCTTTCTTTTTGTTGTGTTGCGAATAATTCTATATTTTCTCCTTTAAACATCCTCAAATGTGCATGACACATGGACGGTGTTAGTGAGCAAGTTCTGACTCGTTGTTGTTTTTCCTCTAGCTGCTTGGAGATCTCCAATCAAAGTAACTCC